CAGCACTTCGTGCTTGAACACCTAATAAAAATCCTCACAAATACAATAGGTTTTCAGCACTTCGTGCTTGAACACCTAATAATAAAAATCCTTACAAATACAATAGGTTTTCAGCACTTCGTGCTTGAACACCTAATAATAAAAATCGGTACGATTACAATAGGTTTTCAGCACTTCGTGCTTGAACACCTAATAATAAAAATCGGTACGATTACAATAGGTTTTCAGCACTTCGTGCTTGAACACCTAATAATAAAAATCGGTACGATTACAATAGGTTTTGCTCATAACTCCTAAACCGTATGTCATAGTCTCAAGTGTCTTATATCATTGGAAAGCTGGAGGCCTGAAGTAAAAAACGTATATCTCCGATTTCATTTCATAACTCCCAGCCCCAAACGCCCACCAATACCGGGATGGTCTCGTTCCACAGGGCCCCTCGAGCACTATCTAAGCTCCGAGTTTCAGAATTTTTCGCCTTCTCGTTCCTGAGATATAAGTGAAAAAACAACTTTCGAATTCATTTAAACTCTATATATGCTGTATTACCACTGTTGTCCACTAGAGGGAGCAGCAGTATTAGACATTTTTAATCTTTTTTATCAGCTTTCTGCATTGGCTGACAAACAAATGCTTAAAGCTATTTTTTTTTAATTAGTTTTATATTATTACAGCACAAAGAAATATGTGAAATGCTTATAGACCATTAAAAGAGATGTTCACAATAACATAGCACAAAAGTGTGTGTCTGTGTCTGTCTGTGTGTGTGTGTCTGTGTGTGTGAGCATGCATTATGGAGTTAACATGGAAAAACTGGTTTGCTTTAGAGCAGAATACTGGTGAAACCAAGTAGTTCAAAATGAAAATGAGCCAATAAGTGGTCTTCTTCTGCCCTCTGCTGGCCACTCTACTTATTAATAGTCTTTTCACATGTGCTTTTGCATTCATATATATATAGACACTAAAAAATCCCTTATATAACAATTACTATTATAACACAATCATATTTTGTCAGAGTTTATCACTTCAATTGTTCTGATGCTTCACATAATTGCTATCAACATGGTAAATCATGGTAAATAACGCCAGAAACATGGTAAATCATAGTAAATAAGGTAAATCATGCTAGAATCCTGGTAAATCATTCTAGAATGTGCTATATCATGTTAAATCATCCTATAACATGGTAAAGCAAGGTAAACTAAGATAATTCATGCTAGATTCATGGTAAATCATACTGGAACATGGTAAATCATAAAAAGCCACACTGAAATGTGGTATATCATGGTAAATCATGCTAAAACATGGTCTATTCCATCTATGATGTGCAATGGTTAAATGCTTGCTACATAAAACTTAATGTCTTTTGATGCTTTTGTGCTTAACGGCCTTAAAGGCCTTAACTGCTTGAACACCGCTAAATGCTGCTTGCAGCTTTAATTTATTATTATTTTTGCTGTAATTTATTTTTAATTTAATTTAAATTTATAAATTTACTGGTGATATCATTAATACTATTACAACTTGTATTTAACTGAGTAAAAAACTTAGGTTAGTGTGAGCGGTAGGTGTGAGCTGGGGTGAGTTTGTGTATGAATGAGTAGTGTGTAAATGAGCTTTGTATGTGTATCTGTAATGTATGTTATGTAATGATTTTGCGTATAATTTGTCTTTTTTGTATTCTGTATTTGTGTTTATAGGACCCTCTTGAAAATGAGATGATGCTTCTCAGGCTATCCTTAATAAATTCAATTCAATTCAAAGGTCAACTTTGGAGAGGAATTTCTCGGGAACGGTAGCGAATATCAAAAATCCGTTCAGTCATTTCTGTGTTGCACCGTTCAAAGATCATCTGAGCCAATTTTTGATGAAAAAAATTTCTAGGAGTAGCGAAAAAACTGTTTTTCATTTGCTTCAATATGGCGGACAGTCACATTGTTGGAAAATGACAAATGATCGGCATAAACCAAGGAACATAATGAAAGAAATACAATTTTGAACAATGTTTTCAAAAGTTATAAGCGTTTTTGCAAAAAACCTTACCTCTGGAACACTAGTTGGCACTGTTTTCAAACGTCTCAGGTACCTTTAAGACATCCTGTTGATGATCCCTACCAAATGTTTGTAAATGTATGTCAAATTGTTTAAAAGATATTGATATTTATGACAAAATTCAAAATGCGGACCGATGGGTTGTCCGATCCTGACAAAATCGGTATCCACAGATTCGGCATGAATTTATTGATTAATGCTTGTTTAAGCTAAAGTTTTCATTGAAGAGCTGGGAGTAATTTTCTCTTTGCCTTTTGTTGTTTGATTCACATGAATGGTGCAATCATCAGCAGGTTTACTAGACTGCTGCCACTTTAAGACTGAATGCAGATCTAATAATACACATCATATTTTCTCCCAACTATTTATGCCCATTTAATACATAAACTGTGTTTAAGTGAATACTCCCCAAGCCGGTCACTTTGACACATTTTTGTGTGTATTTGATTGTTTAGATGTGCACACGAAGCCGAAAGCCTAAAGTATACTTTTTGTCAAGTTGTGGACTGAAAGCCGCATTGAAGATGGAAACAGCGTCTCTGGTTTAATATTATTTCTTATACAAACGGCTGGCAACATAATATGTGGCATATAAAGTCTATATAGCAATAATAAATAGTATGTGTAGTTTCATAATGTGTCTAGTAACGACAGCAGAACCAGTAACGTCGGAGCTTATCTATTAGGGGTGGGGGGAAAAATCGATTCTTAGATGCATCGCGATGCGGACGTGGACGATTCGGAATTGATTCGCAAATGTCAAAAATCGATTTTCAAAAAATAAAAAAATATATATATATATAATAACGTAATACATTGACGGAACTCTGAAGCGCGGAAGTGCAGTGGCCGGGCCGTCTGTGTTGTGCACATAACAGAGACGCGATGACTGAGCGCGATATCCAAACACCCTCCTCGTTAAAAGCTGACGTGTGGAAATATTTTGGCTTCTGTGAAGTTGAAGGGGGGAAAGGAGCTGGACAAGAGCCACACTATTTGTAAGCTTTGTGGAATAAAACTAAAATATTTCGGAAAACACGACAAATATGAGAAGCCATATGACACGTTTCATATGGCCACCAAAGCACATTTTTGTCCCGCCAAAGCCTTTTTTGATCGGTGAGTGATGTAGAAAAAACTGACTGCTGCACTTGACAGCCGCGAGCAGAGAGAGAGAGAGAGAGAGAGCCCCGGCCGCGCGCGCGCACTCTCACGTCTTCAAACAACACGAGCGCTGTCTTGGTCTCTCTCTTCCTCGCGCATATCAAAATCAATTGACACGATAGTAAAAGGTCGGACGGAAGACCGCAGTTTCACGTCGAGCATTTGGAGATTTTTAGAGATTAGAGACTCTAGGCCTACACTCAAAGAACAACATATCACTAAATTATAAAGGCCTGTCTAGTTAGTGTGTTGCATTTTGTCACTGTGTTCTACAGTAGGCTACAGTATATAAGCTGAAGCTACAGTAAGCTGTTCAAAAATGTTCATTTTGTCTTCTTAATGATTAAATTGGACAATTTTCTTCTAGAAAGACAAGGTGTTCAGGTGGAGAAAAAACTTTTTCTTTACCTTGACATGTTTCGACTGCAACCTGCAGTCTTCCTCCACCTGAACAACACCTTGTCTTTCTAGAAGAAAATTGTCCAATTTCTACAGTATGTTGGTTCTGATCTACTTCCTAAAGGAAATAAGCCTTTCATTTATTTGTTATTGTTTAGTTCAACTTAATGAGTCACAACACAATGTGATGTATTCATGTTCTACAGAACATAAGCTACATACACGACACAGAAAGTGCTTTGAGTTGTTGTTACTCAATAAAATACTTTTTTTAATACTGCAATCACTTTGTAGTGTATTTTCATTTACTGTTGTGAAATGGAAAATCAATAATCGCTAATCGAGAATCGTTAATAATCGAAAATCGACTGTAATCGAATCGGGACTTCAATAATCGTAATCGAATCGAATCGGGAAATCAGACAGATTAACCACCCCTATTATCTATACTGTCTTTCATAATTTAGCCTCGTGCCTGTTTCGGTACCCATTCCTATCTATCACTGTTTTCCATGTTCATAGAGTTAGTTTGTGGAGTAAATGAATGGGGTATAATCTGTGTGTACATGGCTTTTTAAAAAAATGGCGTGTACTGGTGTTTTGCATGCGTTCGGCCAATCAGCGTACACTTACATCACTGGAAGTTCCTACTGTGCTGCTCTGAAGTAGGAGCTAATTTAGTTCCCCCAAAAGGAGTTCCTAGAACTAAAATCATTCCCAGTTCCTGTGGTGTGAACATGGCAAAAAGCAGGTACTTCTGCCATTAGTTCAAGGAACTATGAAAAGGTTCCTCAGGTGTGAAATACCCATATAGTGGCCGACTGGATATAGCGCAGCATAGTTTAAAATCAAGAATTTGAAGTTTGTCGATTGTGCATGTCCAGTGACAGCTGAACTCTTGCTTCCAATTAGCACGGACCGACAGTTATGCGTTGAGGTAGTTTGTGCCTGTGCTTGACTATCTGTGGAGATCTGTGTTACAATAGCACTGTGGTATCTGGCTATAACATCCTCTCACGCCTTTATTTTTTTTTACAATGTAGGGAGGAGAATTTTTTAAATACAGAATGTGACTTGAACAACCAGATCCATTTGCACTTGATCAAGTCGCATCGTTTGAAGTGGTTTAAGTGATTGGATGCAATACATCTCGAATACGTTTTGAAGAACATTTACAACCAAGTCTTTTCGCATGACGTGACCAAGTGTAGAAAGTCTCTCGACATTGTGTGGATGTCTGCACACTACACCGAATATTGCAAAATGAACAAATGGATCTGATCTCATTTATTGCATCATAGTAAGTTCTGGAGATTTGTGTTATGTGCACAAAGCCTGAGAATTATACTACTGAATGTTTTCTTTTTGTTTGTGTCCACAATCAGAAAAAAACAGAGACAGAGGCAGTTTCATCGTTGCTCGTGGATGACTGTTTATAAAGACACGTGGCCCCGCTTCAGTCGACCAGGTCAGACTTTAACCAATTTATCAAATTTTCCCAGAATGTTTGTTCAGTAAACCGAAGTACCACCCAGAGTATCAGTTTGTAGGATTTGTGCAGGGCTGGCCTTTGGGTTTGTGGGACTCCAGGCAAGAGCATGAAAATGGGCCCCACCAATATTGGCATATTATTAAAACTATATAACCACTACAAACATGACAAATACACTGAAATCAAATCACTAACAATGAGTACACTGTAGGTTGTTGACAAATAACATGCCTGTCAATTTTCTTTTTTTAACATCTTTAAAATCTATGTGAATGAAATGGAATATGCTTTATGTGCAAGGAAATGTATATTTTGTATTTTAGCAATGACTGGTGACCATTAAGTGATTTAAAAAAAAAAATCAGTTTGAATGAATGTTTCAGTGCGTCAATCATTAAGACTTCACTTGTTTCATTACTAGATGAATCAGCATTTTTTAACGAATCTTTTGAATGATTCAGTGACGCATACATTTTTTAAGTCACTTGTCGCCACCTACTGGTGTAACAATGTAATCTATACAATCTTTATTTGAAGCATCAAGTTACTTTCAAAAGGTGATTTACTCTATTCTGATCGCTACTATAGACATCAGTTTTTATATCCGAACTCTAAACTTTTATCCCAGTAGTTCTGTGATGATGTGAATTATCATAACATGGAAATTACAATACTGTGTGGTTAAAAAGACTGTTTGTGAAGCTGTTTCATGCAACTGCTCTTTCTTGGTCAGCGGCAACGCCAACACAGATTTAAATGTTCCACTGTGATCGTACTTGTTAAAGGTTTAATAGACATAGCTGCACCATTGTATTATAGGAATAAGATCTCTGCCAGGTTGTTGTTGAAAATAATAATTCATTCTTAATTGACTTGCCTGGTTAAACAAAGGCTAAATAAAATTGCATGGGTGTTTGAATTGAGATTGCGATCTTTTAACCATTAATTGTGAAGCTCTGTTTCACTATCTTTAATCACTTGTAAGCTTTTATCAGTTCACCTAAATAGTGATAGCTGCATCTTTTTATACTGTTGCTGTATTTATTGTCACGTAGTGAGGAATTTATTTGGGTCACATTTTAGATTAGGGACCAATTCTCACTATTAATTAACTATTAACTATGACTTTTGCCTCAAACTCATAATTACTCCTTATTAATAGTTAGTAAGGTAGTTGTTAAAGAATTGGACCTTAAACTAAAGTATTACCTTTATTTGTCAATTGTTTGGTAATTGAATGCTTATCTTATACTTAAAAATAATACATTTTATTTATAGGCGCCTTACATGACACTCAAGGACACCTTACATGCAGATAAAACACATAAAAAATAATTCACAACCGATTTGGAGATACATATACAATATCTCAGGTATACCTGCCTAAAGAGATGCGTTTTCAGACAAGATTTAAAGATAGGGAGAGAGTCACTATTGCGAATGTCCTGTGGAAGCAAGTTCCACAGAAAAGGAGCAGCGTAGCTAAAAGCTTGAGATCCCATGTAAGCCAAGCGCATGCGAGGAAGAACTAATGAGAATGTGGATGATGATATAAGAGTTCGAGAGGGAGTATAGGTTGAAAGTAGGTCAGATAAATAGGAAGGAGCTAGGTTATGCAGTACTTTGTAAGCTAGAGTAAAAATTTTAAATTCAATGTGCTGTTTAACAGGAAAACACTGCAATTGTTGTAGAACTGGAGATATGTGTTCCATCTTAGGAGTTCTATTAATGATACGTGCCGCTGAGTTCTGCACTAACTGCAACTTGTGTAAAATTTTTAAAGGGAAGACCATAAAAAAGAGCATTGCAATAGTCAATACGTGAGGTGACAAGAGCATGAACCATAATGGCAGTGCTCCTCGTTGATAGGGCTGGGCGGAGGCGGTTAATGTTACGTATGTGATAAGCCGCCCGAGTAATCTTATTGATATGTGATTCAAAAGATAGAGTATTGTCAAGTATGACACCCAAGCTCTTAACCTGCATTGATGGAGCAATTGTAGAATCATCAATGCCCATGGAGAAACCACTGGTCTTTGATAGATTAGTTTTTGTTCCCACAAGAAGTATTTCTGTTTTACTACTGTTAAGCTTAAGAAATTTACTTGAAAACCAAGCTTTAACTTCAGACAAACAGTTAGAAAGAGAGGATGGAGGAAGTTCAGAAGTAAGTTTTGAAGATAAATAGAGCTGGGTTGTTGTCAGCGTAACAGTGAAAATGGATACCATATTTCCTAAAAATGGTTCCAAGTGGCAGAAAATAAATAATAAATAATAAAGGGCCACGAACTGATACCTGCGGAACACCTGTAGTAATACATGATGGTTTAGATTTAAACTGGCCCAATTGAACAAATTGAGTACGACCAGAGAGAAAATATGAACCAAGCCAGTGAAGTTCCTACAATTCCAATGGACTGCAGTCTGTCTAAAAGAATTTCATGAGAAATAGTGTTGAATGCTGAAGTTAAGTCGAGAAGAATTAATATAGATTAATATAGAGTCCTCAGCCATTACCAATAAGTCATTGGAAATTTTGACAAGGGCAGTCTCAGTACTATGATGAGAACGAAAACCTGATTGAAATTGTTTATATAGGCTGTGCACTGAGAGATGATTGTGTACCTGAGCCGCAACAACCTTTTCCAAAAATTTAGAAAGAAATGTCAAATTGGAGATTGGACAAAATTATCAAAATTATTTGGATCTGCACCTGGCTTCTTGAGTACAGGAGTTATTAATGCAGTTTTAAATGAATAAGGAACAGTGCCAGAAATGAGAAGAATGCATGATCTCAGTAATAAAAGACGAAAGAACTGATAGGCAGGCTTTAACTAATTGAGTTGGTAGAGGGTCTAATTGACAGGTGGTTTGGTTTAGATTCCCGAATAATTGAGGTTATCTCAGCGACTGTATGAAGTTTAAAAGCAGAGAGAGTAGAGTTAATTGTCTGTGTAAAACTGATACAAGATAAAGGACAAGCCAAATCTGAAACCAACAGAGATTTTTTTCAAGGTTTACATTAAAGAAGGTCAGAAAGGCATCACATAAATCAACTGAGTGGAAATGTGATGGTATAGAATCAGGAGGCTTTAAAATATCTTTCATAACAGAAAAAAATAGTTCTTGCATTTCATTCACTAGACATGATCAGATAGGAGTAATAGTCAGATTTAGCTGTAGAGATAGCGGTTTTGTAGTTTTTCACATGTTCAGCGTACATCTGTTTGTGGACAACAAGTCTTGTTTTAACATACAAACACTCCAGATGGCGGCCTTGAACTTTTAGCCTACGCAAATCAGGGGTGTACCAAGGGGAAGAATTAACAAACGAAACAGTCCTGGTTTTTAATGGTACGCAAGTATCAAGAAGTGACTGAAGCACATCATTATAATGAAATACCAGTTCATTCGGGGTTGTTAGGTTGTCTCTACTGGAAAAGGTGTTTAGTCCTTCCACTTGTTACAAGCTCTCCCAGTCTAGGGTTGGGAAAGGGTAACAGGATTAAATTAAATCAAAAAGGAGAAACGTAAATGTGGAGGATTACCTTCAGTCCTCTGCCCCAGAAATGTGAGCCAACCACTTGATGATGCAAAAATAAAATTATTTATTTTTGTTAAAGAAATGGAAGCATTTAGGGATGGGCGATCTGGCCTAAAATCCATATTGCGATATACATTGCAGCCTCTTGCGATAATGATATACCGGTATATCACGATATATAAATTATAATAGAACCATTTTAGAACAGGTTAGATAGACCATAAGGAAAGCCAAACCGCTAAATGTATTTTTTTTTTAAAGAAACGTACATAGTTTTGAGAACATTTATTATGCAAAACTGTAATTATACAACATAATGTTGCAGATAAATACAATTCAAGTACACTAGCTGCAGAGACTTTAACAAAGAAAAAGCTTAAAGTATTGGGTTTCTTTCCTTTAGTGCACGCCTGTTTTACACATACTCCGTGTGCAGTGCATATGCAGTGCGTGTTGCGGTGGTATGCGGCGCAGGAGCAGCACGCGCTATTGTGCTTTCACATATGGTGCGTTTGCAGTGCACAACTGATCTACGGCTGTACGACAAACACAACATGTATCCTCTATTTTTTTATTTCAAATCACTATTTTTATTATTAGTGTCTTTTATAAAATAATATAAAAGAGTTTCAGCATTGCGATTCTATTTGTACACAGTAGGCTAGTAATACGTCTACACTCTTTCACAAGACTTAGGCTATTCACGTTTAAACTTGATACACTTAAAAACATATTACTTCTATATAGATTTATATATTAAGTTGCTCAAGCAAGTGGCAAAACATTTATACATTTGTTAACATCACAAACATTTTAAATTAAAACATACACAATTGACAAAAACGGCTCTCTCTCACCTTTTCTTTTGAATTTAAATCTTTTTTACAAGAAATATTGCGGTCACAAAGAACTTGTTTTTCCACCTCCACGAAGAGACAAGTGCATCCATTGTCGCGTTGTTGAGGTAACATTACTGTGTAGTTTTCCTTGCTTTAATTACCCCGAGCTTAAAGTTAAAAAGAAAATGACTGTGAAAAATAGTAGTATAATTTAATTAAATGCATTTAAGGAGATATCACTATATTTTCATATCAATCTGTGTTCATTTTGACCATGAACCATGCGCTGTCACTTTAATGCAGCACGTGCAGCACAGCAAAAATAGACTCTGTGCAGAAACGATCGCTGTACTGCTGTATATGCACCGCTCCTGGAACGCATTGCCGCACCGCATCCGCATGCAGGCCTGTTAACATGGGTACGGAAAAAATACGCACCGCATATGCACTGCAAATGGAGTAGGCCTATGTGTGAAACAGCTCCTCCGTTTCGCTTTCAGACATGTTTACTCAAGATGACGAATACGATGATGCGTTGCAGCCGGTTGCAGCTCGTGGCTCTAAATATTCGGTTATATTGCGTCAACATGCAT